TTACAAATATTCAACTGTTATGATACTACATGAAGTCATCCACCCCCGAATGTTTCCGCCATTCTGGTTTAGGGTGTGACAATGATGGTCGGTCCAGATGGGGTTTTTCACATCTGGGTTCTTCATCACCGAACACTCACCTTCATCATCACCATTGTTGTTCTTTCTATTAATAACCTGCAACTAGTTAAAAAGAAGGGGATAGACTGATTTTGTAATCTATCGTCTTTCATGGCACCTGCTCAACTAGAAATCGGAAATTGGTATGTAGATCAATGATTTGTTTTCGATCATAAGATGGGAGAGAGAGAGAGGAGATCGGTTTTGATGATCGATGTGGTGGGGATGGTGGATGATGGACGGTAGTGGTGGTGGTGGTTTGTGTGTGGCTGATGGTGGTGTTGGTAGCAAAGGGCGGTGGTGGTGATGGAGGTGATAAGTAAATATAAGGGCTTCTATGACAAATGTGACTGGCCCCAGAAGGTAAAATCAGGGTAAAGGGCAAAATCGAACCAATTTTCCGGTATTTGAGGCATCTGTGGCAAAAAAAAAGACTTTGGGCATAACCGGTTTTTTTGTGTAAAATTAGGGGCTTTTATGACAAAACCCCTTCCTAATAAACCAAATGGTAGTTTTGGTATTAATTATTAAGTATATGGTGGTCTTTGTTAAAATAAATAAAGTATAGGGGTTTGATTTTGCCAAAATCATACTTCAGGGACTGATATTGCGAATTATTATCAAGACAGGGGTTAAACAAGTGCATTTTAAACTGTTTTGGGGTTTTAGGATTGAATTTATTAGGTTTTTCTGGGGAGGGACCAATCTTGTTTAATTTAAATGTAGGTTTGATTTTTCATTGATTTTGACTCGGTCAAAATCAAAACCCGTCTTCTTCAGCTTATATTCGCGATGGGGAAAACACCCATCAGTGGGTCACACTAATTTCCCGATGATATACAACGAAGGAAACGAAAAAAAATGTAATTGTGGGCAGCGAGATGGGCTGAGAACAACGGTGGCAGCCGGTGTTCCCGACTGTTCGTTGTGGGTCTCGCGTCACCGACAGTAACAGCGAAAGGGAGTTGTGGCGATCTTGTAGATGGCACGTGGTTTGAGTTATTGTTTATCGGTAAGAATGGTGAGGAAAAAGTGGTTCTTCGTGGTGTTCGATGGTTACAGCAGTATTTCGACTGCCTGTGGTTTTTCTCAGCAGTGAAAGAAGGAAGGAAAACAAAAATCATTAAGGGATGAGGCTGGGATGGGTTTGATCGATGAAGGCTGTGGAGGAGTGGATGGTGGTGGCAGGCAGCATTTCGACTGCTTGTCGTGTGTCATTCCGGTGCTCGACGACGAGGGTGGAGGCGAGCAGAGATGGTGATTGCCGGGGAGTGTCGATCTTCGGTGCCTCCATTCCTCTGTTTGCTCGATGAAGAAGGTAAGTGGATGGGGCTGCTTCTGCAGCTCCTTGTTTCTTCTCGTTTTCTTTT